CCACCATTAATTACCTATAAATATTATTATCAATCCATTTTTAATTTTAAAAACTATTTTTAAATTAATATAACCAAACAAATTTTCATTTTGTTTTGTTTTGAAAAATAATTTTTAAACTATATTACAAAATAGTTTTTAAAAATAAAAAACGGGAACAAAAATCAAACAAGCCTGAACATTAATGATAACTTAAAAAAAAATGGACCATAATTTGTGAAGAGTAAAACTGTTGTGGTCCTTTAGTCTATAAGCCCCTTATCACACTCCAAATAGGCCCATGTGATCTTATGCACTAAAGGATAAGTGAGGCAGAGACAAAATTGATCAAGATGACTTAGTGCTTGTTTGGATTACATCTCAACCTAGGTTGGGGTGGGATGTCAAAATTCAAAAAAATTATGTTTGGATTGAAAGAAATTCCAACTAGCATTAAGGTCTCAATGAGCGTTTTTGCGAAAGCTAGTTACTCAAGCTTTTGCGGTAGCGTTGGTGGATGTTGGGAGAATATTTAATGCTTTTCTCTTTCTTCATTATCTTCACCTTTATCGATTCTCTCCTTGCTTTGCTTCTCACCCTTCTTTCTTCATGCTGCCATTATCCCTTGCTCACCCTTAACCTCCTTCTCCTTTGCTCTGTTGAATATGACCAGAGATTGCCACCGTTGCTGCCCTATCTTGATCATGTTGCTCGCATTTATGGCTATTGGTAACATTTTTTGCTTCATAACTATTCGCTTCATAACTACGTTGTCTAGCAGTTGGTACAAGGTTTTCTCTTTCATTGATATCCCTTCACGTGAAATTAGCAATGCAAATCTCAAGTTAGCTTTCTTTCTCAATGTTGTTTTCATGGTGATAACCACATATATCATCATTGCAGTAGCGCACAATTTTCTCTCTTTTGGTGAATGCAAGTAAGCCCTTGTGGTTGTCATCGTCTTTGTAATCGCTACTGTCATCATCGTCCATGGGTTTTGTCATGAGTTTAGTTGAGGTTGGGTGTCATCTACTCATCTTCTCTGTTCATAGTTGGCTGTCTATTGTGCTCGCCTATTCTAAATCTAGATCTAATGATTTATCAAGTTGAGGAAGAAGAAGTGGCTGACCGAGGAAGATTAATTATAAATATAAATATATTATAATAAAATTATAATTATAATATTATGATAATTTATCCATTTCTAAATGTTCTATTCCAAATTATGATATTATAAGATAATTATAATATAGTATATAAATATATGGATCCAACAAATAAAATATCAATCAATTTTGATAAAATAAAAATTCTATATTTTATGAAATTTAGAATTAAAATCTAAATATCTAGAACAAATAAACAAAATCATAACAAAAATATCATAATATAACATTATAATTTTATGATTTTCTAAATATTTTTTATTTTTATTTTATAAGTTTAATATTTTATTTTATAAAATATATATATCATATTTATTTAAATTTATAAATTTATTTTAAATTTTCATAATTGAGAATTTTGAATTTTAACATTTAATTCTACCTTTTTTTAAAAAATTAAGATCTTTTTACTTATCAATATATTTTATATTTGTAATCTATGTTTTTTTAAAAAATGTAATTTTAAGTTTAATATTTTTTTAGAAATATAAAATTAGTCACAAAAATATATGCAACAAAACTCATGTTTATTTTTGTTATTATACATCTCAACTGCCTTTTAAATCAAATTATTTAAATAAATTTTAATTTGTTCAATTGATTTTTGAAAAAAAAATATCTAAACATAAATTACGTTACAGTCACAAACTTTTTTCCTAACCACAATTTGCTAATCTCAATTGTATCCTAACATCAGTTGTAAATTTTTTAATCTAAACACACTTAGAATGGAGGATGTGATCATGTGAATGAGATTGAGATGTGGTGCAGAATATAATATATATATATATATATAGGTATTGGTGGGTGGAGGCCATGTGTAAGGTGGATTAAAGGAAGGTTCAAAAGGAAGAAGAGTGTGAAAGCTTGTGGGAGAAAAGATATTTAGGACTTCAATAATTAAAGTATGCCTTTTAAAAAATGAATCACACAATTGAAAGACTTGAAAAGCAATAAAAAATTAACCATGTTTAATTAAGGACGTAAAGAAATAACACTTCTAATAATTCATGACCACCAAATTATGCTTTCTTCATGACTTCATCACCCTAACCAAAATGATTATGATTGTTTCCAAGTATTTAGCTGAGAACTAATTAAGTTCATAGTGGTTGCATGGACATATTAATAACAACTTGTCATTGTAAGCATGCATGTTGATTTACTTTCATGGTCTCAGTTGTTATTTTAATGGGATTTTGATTGGAACATTCATCGTATAGTCAACACAACTGCAATGCTTCATTTATTATGTCTAATAAGCTGAACTACAACACAAAGAGAAGAACAAAGTGATGGGTTGAATATTTTAATATAACTTCTTTTCTGATCATGAGAAGACTTCAAATTGGCCATCTTTCATTTTGTACTTCTACTAGAGTTCAGCACATCAGTTACATTACATGGTCAAAATAACATGAACTATTAAAAGGTCGTTCTTTTATGCATGCCTCCACCTGTACAAATAACTCGCCAAGACTTTTTCTAATAACATGTAATTGCAAAAGTAAGGGTTAAGATAAAGAACCATAATGACCCCAAGACAAAACACCACATATGCTCCTGCAAAAGTCCACAAGAAGGCATCTTGGAAGTTATCATCTTTCCAATGATGAAGTTCCTTGGATCTCCTAAATTGTTTATCATCAATAGACGAACAATTTTTCCATAGAGGTGGGCCACATAGAAAAGGATTCCCTTCATAACTACTTAGTCCAAAAGTTGAAAATTGATATTGCATGTTAGGAGTCATTCCAGATAGATTATTACAGGCCACGGAAAAGACAGACAAGTAGTAAAGTTGTGTTATTTGTGCTGGAATGTGGCTTGTCAATTTGTTGTGTGAAAGATCCAGGCTTTCTATTTGCTTAAGGTTAACAAACGTATCTGGAATAGGCCCTTTCAAATCATTATTTGACAAATTTAAGGCATGAATAGTGCTTAAGTATCCAATTTGTGAAGGAATTTTACCTGTCAATTGATTTCCTGAGAGATCCAAACCGGACATCAAATTTAAAATATTCCCTTTGTAAGATTCAAACCTCCATTTGGATGTAAAATCTATTTCTTGATATCTAGACAAGGTAACATTTCCTTCACTTTTATATATATGAATTCTAAAAGTCCAGTCCCATGCAAACAATGGAAGTTTTATCATCCATGACGTAATGAAATAGCCTATTTTTGTTTCTTGTAGTGCATCCCTCCTTCCGAATGAAATGTTACTCAAGCAATATGGTATCCTTCCAGAAAGCTTATTTTGAGAAAGATCTAATATACTTATTTTCCTGAGCTCACACAAATCAATAGGAATGGAACCTTTAATTTGTTTTCTTTCAAGATGAGAACCCTTAAATTCAAAAATAAGCTAAATAATATTGGAACTTGACCTGAAAAATTATTTCTCATCAAATCCAAAGTCAGCAAGGGAGAATTGGCTAAAGTAGAAGGTAAAGGTCTCATGAATTGGTTGCTTTGCAAATGCAAGTATTTCAATAATGGCATATTGAGACAACTTGGCAAAGAGCCCTTGAATTTATTCTCAGAAAGCTCTAGATATATAAGCTCAGTTAAGTTGCAAAAGCTTTGTGGTACTGAACCTCTCAAAGAATTCTTGGACAAAATGAGGTAGCTCATACGTTGAAAATTTCCAATCCAGCTTGGTATTTCACCAGATAGCTGGTTGGCATTTAAATCCAACATTCTTAATCCCGTACTATTAATTATCCCAGTTGGAATGTTTCCTTTGAAGTTATTATTGTTGAGACCAACGAACAACAAATATCTAAAAGTTGATTTGACAGGAAAACATGGGCTGCTCAGGTTATTGTTTGATAGCCTCATAAACCTCAACTCAGAGCCCCCACGACCAAATTCTTGGGGCAAGTAACTAGATAAATTATTATCTGACAAGTCAAGATCATTCAATTGTCTCATTTCACCTATTGAAGCTGGAAAAATACCTTGCAATGAACACGAAGACATGTTTAGAGAAATCAAGTTGGGAAAAATAGAGCCAATGTTTGAAGGCACTTCATGTTTAATGGGATTAGAGGAAACATCGAAAAATTGCATTTGAAGCAATTTTGAGGTGGAATTGGGTTCAAATGGACCAATCAACAAGTTGTTGCTCATAGCAAAAGTATTTAATTTTGTGTTATTTGTCAAGAGCCAAGATGGGAAAGCTCCCGAAATGTTCAAGTGTGTGAGTTCTAGAACAAGCAAGTCCTGTTGATAAAGAAGAAAGGTAGGCATTTTGTTATTGTTTACTTCATTCAGAGTGCAGCCGTTGATGTATAGATAACTCAATTGGAAGGAAGGGAAAAATGAGGGATTCTCAGTTTCGAGCTTGACATTGGTGTTATAACATGACATGTGAAAGTCTCGAAGATTGGAGTGGTTGGCAAGCAAAGAAAGTGAGAATGAGCCCCTGAAATTGTCATCGGAGAAAGAAATTGTGGCTAGAGATCTCAAAGTATGAAAGAGCCAGGAAGGAAAGATTCCTTCAAAACCATTCGAGTTAAGAGCAAGTAAACTTAGAGATGTCAAATTGCCAAGGCACATTGGAAGTTTTCCCTCGAAATTGTTTAAAGAAAGATCCAATTGTTGAAGATTCTTCATATTGCACAAGCCTCCTGTAATATAATTAAACTTGTTTAATCAGTTAATCTATGAAAGAAACTTAAAAACTTAAGATATAGCTTAAAGGTTTAGACTTTGAGATTGGCCCGCTCATATGGCTTAATAATATTCCATGGGCAAAATTGATTTTTGGGTTTACTATGCTTCAACAAGGAATTTAAATTAATAGCTGGGCCCAAGAAAAAGCCTGAGCAAAAGCCCAAATATCTTCACGAACTCATAGGGATAATGCATAGGGAAATTAAAACGAGGAAAGTGAAATTTTCAGTTTGATCGTATTTTTATTTAGCCTTTGCATGAGAATGAAACCTATACTTAATATGACAATATAGCTCGATTTTATTATTATTTTTAAATCTTTATTGCCAATATTGTTGTGCTTGGACCACATTTTAAAATAAAATATTCATGAAAAAATATTATAGATTGTGAACAGAATTTTTTATCAATGTAATAATCTAATCTTAGTGGTGGAATAGTCAATTAATGGATTTTTTTTTTTACTGCAGATGCTATAAATATGATACGCACCTTGTTTTGGCAGTGAGCCATTCATGTTATTGTGGCTTAATGATAAGAAGGTGAGGGAAGTAAGAGACATAATAGATTCTGGAAGACTACCCTCCAAGAAATTCCCAAGAAGGCTCAGAACCTTCAAATTGCGTGAACGAGAAAGATCTGTCAAAAAATTCCAAATGAAAATGCACATTATTACATTAAATAGGTTGCTGGTTAGAAGCTTATTAGAAGAAGGTTTTCCATGAATCACTAATCTACTTGAAATGTCCTTATAACCTTAATGAATGGTGCTGCCATTACAACCTATTGCTTTACAGTATAGTCATAAAGTTTTGATCACTAATCTCTTGAGTCATTTTCTATCATAAATTAAATAAAAACGCACACCATTTTATATTTAACTCCCAGGTATTCTCAAGAATTTCTGGAAGTTTGACAGATAATCTTTCAATTCTTTGAATAAAGAAACGAATGTTTTAATTTGAAGTTTAGCTCATTTTATGACACTGAAAATCGATGAGTTAATTAGTAATTAGTAATTCTAGTATATATCAATCGAGTTGATGAAATAAAGAAAAAAAATTAATGGTGTGTTTGCATTAATGGAAATTTAAATTTGAATTAAATTCTTCATTTAAATATATGAGAATTTATGAATTCAAATTTAAATTCATTTTTTATTATAATTTATAATTTTAAATTCCCTCTACATCCTTATCATTTGAAATTTTATTCACTTTAAATTTCTCATTTTTTTAAATGTTTTTACTATTGATAACTCTCTAACCATTATATCTTTTCTCATATCTCATTATCACTTTTCATCAATTGAAAAATAAAGATAAAATCACAACTTTCAATATTTCATTTTTATTTTAAATATTGAATCATCTCTTTTCTTCATTTGAAATTTTTTATACTATCCAAACAAATAATTTAAAATACATGAATTTTAAATGTAAAATTTTAACTTTAAAATTCAAATACAAATTAATTGATCCAAACACCACCTAGCTAAAAGAATTTTAAGGATTTGATAGAGAAAACTTTTGTCTTTATATTTCTTATAGTGATAATTTTTCTAAAAAAAAAAAATCTTGGTAATCTATTGCTCTCAAAATAGAAAAAAAATAGGATGCAGGATCCAGTAATAAGAAGATGCGATTTTAATCAAAGAATCAGGAAGATAGAAACCAATCACCAAAAGATGGGGCTTCTGTGAGCTCATTTTCCCCAAAATGCAGCCGTTCCAAGCTGTGGAGCTTAATATCGCCAAACAGCCCTGCTCCACAAACAACAAGCGATCGATCAATTGCTTTGGATGTTAATGGGTAAAGAATTATATAATTAAATAATCAATATTCTCTTCAAAATTTAACATCAATTTCAGGTTCAATATATAATAAAGCTAGTGAGTGATCTAGAGCACATTGGAATTCAGATCAGTTAGACACACTTTCGCGTATATTAAATGAAGTTTAAACAAAGAAAATACTGTCTATGGTTTATAAATAAATTAAATTAAATACAACATTCTAACAAATATTTGAAGGGTCGATTGAAAATGACGAGTAAAGATCTGGTTAAATACATGTAGGTATATACATAGTTTGCGATCGGAGTTTAGAAGGCTTGAAAATGTCTTTACACACAAGGGAGTGAATGATAAAATTAAATAGTGAAAGGAAGGAGAGAACCTGACTGTGACAAGTAATTCGCCCACAAATCCAAGTGTTGAAGTTGGTGGAAAGGGAGAAAGTAAGAAGCATTAAGGGACCATTTGATGCGTCTCAACTCTTGAGGTCTGGTGTGACTCAGATCAAGCTCTATCACTCTGTGAGTGTAGTTGTCACAGGCTACACGCTCCCAAGTGCAGCAATCAGAATGATTGGTAAGGTTATTCCAAGAAGGAAGAGAAGAGCCATTTGGGTAATTGAATGCTTCTTTCAGTTTCAGAAGAGCTTCTCTCTCTTCTCTCAAGCATCCCTCTCCTCCTCCAACATGAAGCCCCAATATTGTCATTCCCACTACCACCACCACCCACCACGTTTGTTCTCTCACTGAATACCCCATTTCTCAGTATACATGCTTCTATCGTTATTGGCACTGCATGTCTCCAGTTCCTAATTAATGTTCATCTATGTATAGTGCCAGTAAAGTGATTTTTTCTTTTTTCTTTTTTTGTGCCTGAAGTAGTACGGTAAGAAGACTCATGAGTTGGGCACTACATGTACATATGCTCTAAAACACGTGATGTCATATTTGCGGAGAAAATTCGGTAGAGAATAATCGTTTTTCCTATATGATATCGGACGGCCAGGAACGATCACAATGACTTTTCGATCGAGACTCAGTTTTAGGAGTAATTAAATTTGGAGGAGTTAATGGTCACTTTTGACCACAATTTCCATTTTCCAAAAGGTTCCATAAATGCTTATCTTTTCGAATTAATCAGGAAAAAAAAATGTTACAGAACAGCCCATGGAAGAAGGCCTAGCTAGTTTCACATCGTGTGTCATGGTGGAAAAAACTAGGGAAATATACATGAAACATCTATGTAAAAGACCTGATTAATATAAAAATACAAAAATACTTTTTTTTTTTTAAAAAAGATAGCCTTTAAAAATAAATAAAATGTATTAATACTGAAAATAAGAAACTCTCCCATATCAGCGAAGGCTTGAAAAATGGCTTAAGGATTAATGGATGATCCCCTGCGGTAACAAATTTGTATGCTGGAGAGCTTGGAATAAGAAGAGAAGCAAAATAGAAAGCTCCACTTCAAAATCTGATATAGACTTAATTAGTCGTTTTAATTGTCTGAAAATTTACGGGGGGAAAAAAATTAATAAGATTCCTTCCCCGAAATACAGGATTATATTGGACTTCACCTCTCAATTCATGATCCTGCCTGCTTCTAACAACGTTCACGGCACAAACTCTTACATTCTTTTGTCACTATCTTTCAAAATCGATCAGTGCGTATGTTTTGGCATTTCTGCACAACGTGTCAAAGACGAGACTGTGATGGTGCATACATGTCTTAAGTAAACTATACGTCTTCCTGCATTGGATGCCTGAATATCTGTCCACATTATCTCTAATTTCTCAGCAAACCTATCAGCAGGAATAATATTTGACATCAAGTTGTATATAAACAGACAAATAAGTGTAAGCAGATCAATATGAAGATGGGAGCACTTGAGAAGATTTGGATATCTCAGGTCTCCCGTGAACATTTGTGTTTTATATATAACTTCTCAAGTGCTCCAAGTTATGAAGTGGAGCCTTCTGAAGTGAGCCATTTCATAACCGAAACAGACTTCTTGTGGTTTAATCAGTCTAAAAGATTATAAAAAGATGAAAATTCCTTGCCCCTAAAAATTTACGATTGGGCTTAACCTCTCAACTATAAAAAATCAGTGCATGTGCCTGTGGCATTTATGCACAATCATACAGACAATGACCATCAAAGGGAGTATGTGAAGCTAGACTTTATGGTAGATGAGATAGTGGTGCTAGAAGTAAACTACACGTCTAAACCCTTCTTTACGTTTATCTATAAATTAAATGTTATGGTTAATTATAGGATAATAACTTGTGCATTAACATCACACTCGATTAATTAGCCAACGACTCCAATGTGCCAAGAGTTATACAATAACAAAAAGTCAGAAAAATTAGCTGACAAAAGTTGATCCAATTAATAAACATTTGACTCAACCCATAAAGTATATAATTTTTTCAAATCAAATTTTTGACATGAGAATTTTGTTAGTGAATAATCTATAAATATTTCCTTAACATTATTTCACAGAATCTAATTCACTTAAATTTTGTATACAAAAGAAAAATTAGAAAAATAAGTGATGGTTGAATGGCGGAACGAATGCTAGCCAACAGGGGTTAACACACACACACACACACATAGAAGTGCAAAAAAATATTAAAAATAAATAAGAAAGACACATCAAATCCACTTAGAAAAAAAATTCCATTCATTTTTTAGAGCAGGTCATTTTTCCTCCATAGAATGAGAGGATCAGGATGTGAAGAATTCTTCCAAATTCTCTGATTCATGCCTGACAAGGACTTTAAGTCTTTTGTCAGACAAATTAGAAAGAAATGAAGGTTCCATCCTCCACAATACACGGTAACATCTCTATATTTCTAATGTAATAGCCATATATAACTATTCAAAAATCAATGCACGCGCTTGGACCTTTGTGAACAGCAGAGAGGCAACGACGAAAGCCCTGTTCTGAATCCCATTTCTCATAAATTATATCAGAAATAGGCTTGAATAAGCTCTGTCCCACGTATTGCGTGGCATTGACTATATTATTAGTTTAGCCACTTCAGCATTTAGCTGATTGATTTTTTGTATTAATGAGTATTAATAGATTAAAATAGTATGCAATCTGATTGGAAGACTACATATTGACCCAGCAACATATATTGTTTAATTTTAATCTCTCAGTCTCAATTCCTGATCAGGTACAAGCACTTGGATGCCTTAGGAATCAAGTATCTAAATCTAATCATCCCCTCAACCTTGCTTTCCAAGCTTCCATAAAGATCAGTGTCACCTAAACTAACTGAGCAGAAGATCACAGCAGGAAGCTCTGAAATAGCAGAAAGACAACCATCGAGAAGAAATCGGTGACTCAGCAGGTGAAGAATTTGCGGAATACCTTAGAAAATCCAAAATTTTTTAGACTCCGTATATTATATTATACATATGTAGATGTATTTTAAAATATTACATATAGGTATAAGTCGTAGTAATAATTCCACCTCGATTTAGCCATTATTCATTCATTAAATTTCACATATATATCAATCAATGACTTATCCGCGCGCTCGTGTAAATCTATCATTGGCTGAATTAAAGAGACTAAGAGAGATTCAGAAAGGTATAAAGAAAAAACAGAGGCCTGGAAAGGCAAAGTATTGTTCAACATTCATATTACATCCCACAGACCTTATGAAATCATGCGTGATGATCTCATTATTGAGTGAGGAATGCAAGCAAATAAGGCACCACTTCTCCTGATTAATCATCTCCAAAGCTCAGCTCAACAGCTGAAATATGAGGTTCTGTTACATGGAAAACTAGGAGCAGTTGTCATTAGAACATATCTGGGTCATAATTAGGATTCAAGCAAGAGAGAGAAATATAATAGCCTAAGTGTAACGTGATTTATAGTCTCCAATCTGATTAATGATTACTAGAGAGAGAAATTATAACTAGTTTTCTTTCATTACTTGTTGGTATTTCAGTATATCCATCAGTAGGTCTTGAGAGAACAAGGTTTTTCTCAATAAAAGGCTCAAATAAGTATCACCACAGAAAATCTATGATTTCTTGTTTGTTCATAAATCCAACTAACAAGGAGAATTGGCCAAAGTTGAAGGCATAGGTCCCATGAATTGGTTGCTCCGCAAATGCAAGTATGGAGGGGGGGAAAAAGAGGACATTTTTGTAATTATTCAAAAAGCCTCGCTATACTTAGATGGCATTTTAACAATTGAAAGGACTTGTGAGGGTCAATGTGACATTCAATATGAAGATGGATAATCGCAAAATAGTTGAAGCGTGTGTGTACGTATGCACGCGCGCATACACGCACATATATATTTTTTACCCACGTTGAGGATGACGAGTATTCCAAATGCAGAATACTGGCCAACCAAGTCATCTTTGGATTCATATATACCATGATGCTCATTTACATGATCATTATCATTATGATAAGATCTGGACCATTCAAATAATTTAATCTAAATAATGCAAATTTAAAGTTTTTTAATTTATATTTATTAAAATAAAAAATTGCAAAAAAAAATTCAATAAATCTGTTTATTACCAACTCAATAGTTTAGATTTAATTTGGGTTGTCCAAATTTAATATTAAAAATTTTTATAATTTTATAAATTGACTATCTAGATTTTTTTTTTAGGAAAGACTATCTAGATTTATTTCAGATTTAAACTTTTTAACTAATAATTTTTTAAACACATATACTTTAAAAGTACCCGTTTGAATATTATTTAATTTTTTAATTAAGAAAAATTAATCTGCAAATCCTTCTAATTTTCCTTAATTTTGAATAATTTTTCTTTAGTTTATTTTATTTTAATCAAATTTTTATAGTTTAACTGATTAAATATGTTAGTCCCTAAAAGTTAAATTATTAATGAATGGTTGATTTTTTTAAAATAAAAAACTTTTAATTTTTTATAAAAATTAGTTTAATAATTTTAGCCAAAATTTTTATTAGTAAAATTTTATTTTTATTAATTATTTTCTGAAAATTCTATATATATAAAAGTTATTTAGAAAAATAACTTAGTCATGTAAAATTTGAGTTATAAAAATTTTGTAACTAATTCTAAAATTATATAATCTTTTAATAAACATATAAAAGGTCTTTATTTCATTTTTTAAAAGAAAAAATTAAATAATTTTCACAACCAAGGACTAACATATATTTAATCAATTAGACTATAAGAACTTAATTAAAATAAAATAAATTATGAGGATCTAATTTAAAATTGAATAAAATTATTATAACTTCTAGATTAATTCAGCCTTTTTAATACTGTATTTATGAAAATATATTTTTAAAAATATTATAAAAAATTAATATAAAATTTAAATTATTCAAAGTATATCTGAATAAATAATTTATAAAAATTATAAAATATCAATGTTAAATTGGACCATTTAATTTAAATTTATATTATTTTTATTTATGATAAAAAATTGTAAATTTTGTATTTTAATAAATATAAAATCAAACTATAAATTAAAAATTTTAAATTTAAATAATTTAAATTTAAATCTAGATAATTTAAATTTCATTATTTTGATGAGCACCATCCCTTATAAGCGCTGAAAACGGACTGGCAGACCAACCATTTCGATAATAAATTCGTCCACCTCATGTGGGAGTAATTTACCACATGGTCCTCATGTTTTTTTTTTGGAAATTGTCATCTATAAAATATGAAGGCGGGCGTGGATTTTCACAGTCTTAAGAACCTTTAAAAGAAGATTGATTCGCCAACGAAGACGTGACGCAATTGGTCA